TACTGTCTTCACTTTAAGCGCCTCGCTGAGTTTTTCATACTGGACCACCTGACACGTGGCACTGTCATATAACCAGCTGTTGAATGAGGTTGATAAAAATTTGAGTCGATACACGCCGTAGTGCTAAAGTAGTTTCTAAATTACTTCATAGTCAACGATTTATAGTTTAATAATACGGTGAGTAATAATGACGTTAGGCGTAGCGTATTAATTTTTTGCATTCTCACCGTTATGTGTGCTTTTATAAACTGTGTCAACTCGAAATACTTCAATTCTACATTAAGAAGTCATTTAACATCAAGTTGGAAATGAATGCAATATTTAGCAGTAGGCGAATTATATGTTTCAAAGTATCCATCTGTCTGAAGTAAAGATATGATAGAAGTTAGATGACCATTGGAAAACCTGGATGTACTGGCAGACAGCTGTTTCGTCAGCCTAGTTTAGGACTGTTCGGCAGTACGCAACCATCTCACTGGGATTCGAAACCAGTACCTTCTGGTTACAACGTCGGCGGGCTCGTAGACAATTAAGCCACCGGGACCCAATCCAGTGACCAGTCCATGAATTCTAACTTCTGCCAATTCATGATATAGCGTGGCCACTTCGCAATGTCATCTTGGATAAGTTACTGCATCGCCTTCAGCCTGCTGTACCCTATTGGTCACGGCTTCTCACTAGAACCCAAGGTAACTGACTGATCTGATGTTCATTAGCGACTGGCTCTATTCAGGCAGTTATCTGGGGTTCTGGTATGAAGCCGTGACCAGTAGGGTACAGCAGGTTGAAGGTGAGGTAAAAACTCATCGAAGAAGATATTGTCTAGTGGTTGCTCTATGTAATGAATTGGCAGAAGTTAGAATTCATCGGCTTGCCATTGGATCGGGCTAGTGCCAGTGTCTTAATGGTCTACGAGTTCGTCTGGTAACCATAACCGAAGGTCAATCGGTCGGTTTTCGACATAGAACTTTGCACATATGTGCGGCCGTTCAAGTCGCCACACTCCATGTAGCACACAAAGCAAGAGAAGAAAGTAGGAGAAATGCATAATAGAGACAGTAAACAGAGGTGTGAGACAAAGGAATAGTAGTAACGAAGAACAAAACAGTTTCATTGGAAATCATAAGTCACAAGAAGTGGATGCATCTGCGCTAGCCATTGAGAGCGATTTTGAGCCATGTCACCAATTGTTTCCAACCATTGGATTTTACCGTCTCGAGGACCCCAACCAGGAAGTCTACACTTTCCTACGTGGCCTAGACTAACTGTTGTGGATTTCATTGACTGGTGTCATGTTTTCATTTGACCGCCGCTAGCTCTTTTCCAGCCTGACCCTATATCAGCTAACATTGCCCGTCGAGGAAGGCGATGACTAGGCATACGTAACACATGTCCTAACTATCTCAGTCGATGTAATTTCACAGTCTCGTCGACTGATTTCCCCTCCTTACCTAGCACTCAACCGACGCCTAACCTCAATATTGCTCACCTTATTACACCACTTCACACGGGAGATAGAACGCAGACACCTATGATCGAGGACAGCTAATCTTTTCATGTCTTCCACTCTCAATGGCCAGGTCTCACAGCCATAAAGGAGGACGGAGCGGACTGATGAGCAGTACACACGCCCTTTGGTCGATAGCCAGCCGGATATCACGTCTACGCCAGAGACGGCGTAAACTGGCATATGCGAAACTAGCCCTCTGTATTCGTGCTGAGATTTCGTCAGAGATCAACCCGTTGGCGTTGGCTGATGGTACTTCCCGAGTAAGTGAAGCGAAGGTCCTGGGTTCTTACCCTAACCGACAGGTGTGTACTGCTGAAGATTCCCAAACTAGTGGGACGAAACAGCTGTCTGGCAGTACTTCCTGTTGGTTTTCCAATGGTTCTCTCTAAATGATGTCAGCTCGTGATAAAATCCTCCAAACCAATCAAACAAAATCCCTACGAAACCAATACATAAGGATCCTCCAAAGCCTCAGGATGGTCGGGGGTGGGTGCCTTGCGCTGCGGGTTGGCCACCCCTCCGCACACCTCTTGAAATGCTCCCATATGACCGGGCGTCTTACATAGCCTCTCCTGAGGAAGTCCTACTCACTGCCTTCACGTGGCGGAGGTGTTTTTCACCATAGTGAGAGGGCGAAAGCGGATGCCCGGCGCTCTTCACCGGGTTGACTGTCCATTGGATGACAGTCTAGGGGAGATGGCTAAACCCTGATTCCAAACCTCCAACGACTGGCGTATGAAGCTCACTTGAGCTCACCGGAAGACGTATGGACAAAGGGCTTGTTGGATGTCTTGGATGTCTGGCCCCATTCAAAAAGGCGTATGAACCAAACTCCGGTCACCGGCTGCCAATGGATAGTGGACTCCCTACTCCACTCCTACTGCCTTGTAGGTCACACTTGATTGTGTAAAGGCTAGAGCTGTACTCTCAAACAAAAGGCCGAGCGATTCTGGGGACATCACTCGTACCAAATTCCCATGAAACTTCATGAACTCTCTTCATCAGATCGCCGCGCCTGGGCAGCGATGATTCGAAATGTTCATGAAGCCGGCTCATCCTCCCGTAGGAGATAGCCGAAGTAAAGTAAGTAATACATAAGGATATGACAATTATACATATATATTCATTCCATAAATCTCATAATAATTCTCTCATAGTTCATATATTTCCAACATATCACAAATAATCACTGAATAAGTAAGTTTTATGGTGTGATTTTAACACACACACACAACAAAATGCGTTTTTATGAGGTCATATATTGTACTTTTAAAGTGTTATTTATTCAAATAAAATGTGATTTTATGTACATTTTTTTCGTCAACCAAATTCAGCGGAATTATTTTTATAATAATAGAAGGAGAGAGAGAGAAAAGCGATCAATATTATCATGTGATCACAGAAGCTTGTAGAAGAAAGAAGATAGGGACATAAATTCTAAATATTTTATTTAAAGTGCGCAGAATAATTTATAGTTCAACGTTCAATTGAACAATACAAATGACTGTTTTTAAAGGATTAATGGACTGGTGGAAAATCAATAATGATTTTGAATGGATGGATGGTGAGATTATAATCTTAGTAAATGATAAAAATATATAATTATTTTAACGAGTGGTCATAAGAAGTTTGATGACATTATATTAGTACATTTCTGTCAATTTGTTTGATCAGATTATATAGAAATTCATAAGAGTTTGAATGGACTTCTGTGCGTCGTTCAGAACGCTATTTAACTTTCTAAGGTAGAATTACAATCACCATCAATGGGAGAGATTTGACTGATGTTACTCCCTTCACTTATCTAGGCAGTCGGTATCATTTCAACCACAGCGGAACGGATGGAGATGTCAAAGCTGGTCAGAATCGAAAAGGCAAGATACGTATTCATCACTCTGATATCAATTTGGAAACCTTCTGAACTAAGCTTAAAGAACAAAATTCGGATTTCCAACACCAATGCCAAGTCTGTCACTGCTTCTCTACGGGTCAGAAACGTGCAGTGCGTATCACGAAAAGGAGATCCAACAAGTTACATACTCTAATCAACAACTACCCACTACGCTGGCTCCATACTCAAGATCAAACAGCTAGCCAGTCGGTCCGAAAGAATTAGGTACAAGAAACTCTGGAGATGAACAAACCAAGAGCCGATCACTCAACAAATATTTAGGAAGAACTGGAGATGGATGGAGGGTACGTTGTGGAGACCGTCGACTTACATCTTGCGCAACGCAGGTCATTGTTCGAGTGGAATCCGAATGGGAAACAATGAGTGGCTCGTCGATGTGAGGGTGACATTGAGGAGATGTTGTGGCAAGGAAGAGATGAGAGATTATTGGCAATCGTGGGGCGATCTAAAGAGGCCTACAGAAAATAGAAGAATGTGGAGATGTGTTGTTGAAGCCCTCCCTATGTTCCACTCGAAACCCGAAGGAATAATGATAATAATTGCAATTGACAAGTATGAAAAAGGAAATTCAGCAAAAGATATCTTTTTCAATAATTTCCTCTTCTGGTTCTACAATTATATATGTTTATATACATAGAACATTCTAGAAAAGCCTTCATTAACAATATTGGGATCACCACTAGGACTCATTCTATCCAACATTTTCCTTACGAAACTAGAGAATGGGTCTTTGAAAGATGTAACTGATGAACCGGAATTCTACTATCGGTACATGGATGATACATTTTTGATTATTAAAAATGAGGATGAAGCAAAGTACATTCTGAATAAATTTAACAATACTGATCCTGCAATAAATTTTACTAATGAGAAAGAAAAAGACTGTAGTATTTCATTCCTAGACATCCTTATGATCAGAGAAAAGGAGGGTACAATAATAAGAAGTGTATATAGAAAAACCTACATCAACTGGCATTTCGGCTTTCGTCAAAAACTGCTTTCTCTCCGCCGATATGAAAGAAACTACGCAAAAGATAGGCAATGAGGAACCCTAGTTGTGAATCACCCTGCAACTTATCACCCAGGAAACATGGTAAAGGAAATACGGATGGTGGGGTGGGTGCGTACTGTCGGAAGGCTAGTCCTAAACTAGTGGGACGAAACGGCTGTCTGGCAGTACTCCTTGCAGGTTTTCCAATGGTTCTCTAACTGATGTCAGCTCATGATGAAACCCATAACCAATGAATCAAATGCCCACAAACCAGTACTTAAAATAGAGTTGGATTGGACGAACTCTGAGACAACACCTTCATAGGACTATTCATGCCATGTCCTCGGGTGGAATTCCATTGGGAAGCGATGAATTGGATGCCCTAAAGTAACATGGAAAACAATATCACTTGGAGGGAGGAATTCAAAGCTTGTGGACATTTGTGCAGCCATAGGACCGACTCGAAAAGAAGTATAGTTCTGATGAAGCCTTATAATCTACTTGGAACTCGATGAATGAATGACTCTCATTAAGTATTAAAAAAAGTTAATATATCCACCAAAACATTTTCTTCTGTTAATACGCACCTTTTCTAATTTATCTGGATGTACTGTCAGGTTGATTTGTTGTTGATATAACTCTTCAAAATCAGTTCTATCCATCTTAATGATTGTTGTTTCATTAGAATATTCATTAGTATTTACTATGACGCCATGATCCTCTATAGCCGTTGAATTATCTTTACCAGTATACACTGTCGCCTCCTTCATCCCAACTGTTCTTCTCCTGAATCTTAAATTCTCTGGATATTTTGCTTTAATACGAATAGCTACGGGAATGCTATTTGTACAGCGTAAGTAAATTCTCCTTTCAAGAACTATACTACTCATGAGTAGACTTTCAGCTTCGTAATCAGATGGAGTCAAACTTTTTTGCTGTGGCTGTTCCACGTCATGCTTTGTTAGAATCGAATGAGAACTTGGAGTGTTGTGGTTTGAGTTGAGGTTATTTCGCATATCTCTCATTAAAGATGAAACGCCTAGAAATTGGCCAAGTCCTGAATTGAAGTGTAAAGTGATTGGTTGTAAAGATGGAGGAGATCCGTGTGTATTGTCAATTTCTAGAGGATCATCGTTGAGGTCAATCAAAAGTCTATCATAGAACAAAAGAATAAGAGGAGATAGTTATTAGCGGAAAGATTTAGGTGCAAACATCCGTCAAGGAAATATAAAATTGTTTCTAAGAGTTTGTTTGTAGGAATTTGATTTGTTTGAAATTTGATCACGGTTTAATATACGTTAAAGAACAATTGAAAATCACCAGAGAGTACTGGAAAGCTGTTTCGTCCCAGTCTGGGACTCATCTGCGGCACGCATACGCCTGGATTCGAAACCAGGAGCTTCCGGTTGAGAGGCAGGCTTGTAGTCATGAATTCTAACTTCTACCAATTCCTGACTTTGCTGCGACCATCAGCCAGTGTCATCAGCGAGTATTTGTTCTCACTCGCGACCGTGTGGACCCCATTGGTCACAACTTCTCACTTGAACTCTAAGCAACCTCGTCCTGGTAGAAACAAATAGATCTCTTACACCTGTAAGGTGACAGACGTGTTGTTAATATGTCACACTGTAACTATGGTTACGGAACACGATGCTCTCAAGCGTTCACTCAATAGGTAACATACCTAACTTGTAAGCACTGGTATCAAAATAAGAATCAAAAAAGGCCTATTTACTTGAAAATATGCCCTAGGAAGCAATATCTTTCAATAAAATAAATGTTAGAGGAAAAAACTGAAGGACTTATTTGACCATTGTGGCTGAGCTACGTACTCAAAAGATGTGTATATTATTCGGTAAGAAGGGAAGCACAAAAACACGCCCTATTCAAATGCCTACCTAGTGAGACAAAACCTAAAACACCTAAATCAAGCTATTTCTTCTTCATCTTTAGTCCTTTGAATTCCCAGTGGGAAATATGGTTTCAGTCTTTATGAAGTTTCACCAGTGGCGAAAGTGCTTTTACACGATGAGATTGCTAGCCTGATGGCCAAACTTCCCTCTGTAGCAGGATTACAATCGACTTGCAAACCGGGAGAGATTTAAGACCACAAGTATGGTTAACGGGCATTTTACCAGTGATACATTGACACACCACTACCAACCAAATCATTCTACAATGAATGTATAATACATGTTGTTTACAGACTTCATCAAGAGTTGACATCAATTACAGAACCACTGGAAACCAACTGGAAGTCCCGGACGACTGACTCTTCCTAGTCTGGGAATCATCATCAGTGTGCACCCACCAATGGGTTTTGAACCCAGGACCTTCCGGTTACACGGCGAGCTTGTAGACCACTCAGCCACTGGGACCCAATCCAATGACCAGTCCACTTCGTGTCAACTCGTGGTGTATATAGCGCAACCATCAGCCCTTATTAAACGCGAATAACTGACCTCTTACCTGACACACAGTAGACCCGTCTAGTTACGATTTCTCACTAGAACTCTTGGTAATCTCCTGTATCCAGCCAGTCACTAGTGAGGATCAGATCAGTTATCAAGTGTTGGTTTGCAGGGATCTGGTTAGTTACAGATTTGATCACGATCTGATATCACGCTATACATTGGCAGGAGTTTGCATTCGTGGGGTGGTCAATGAATCAAGTCTCAATAGCTGAATGTTCTACCATCTGGCCTTACAACTGGAAGATCCTGGCTTTCTAGCCCTAATGGTGGGTGTGTACGGATGAAGAGTGCCGGACTAGGACGAGACAGTTGTCCAATACTCCCAGTTAGTTTCCAGTGATTCTCTAACCGATTGTAGCTTGTGGTCAAACCTGTAACCAGGGGAATTCCTACAAACCGGAGCCTGATACTTATTATTTATAATGATTCATGGATTACCTACCACCGAATATGTACACCATACTGGTATTCTAAAGTAATTGACTTTTCCAGTATTCGTTTTAAGTGTAACACAGGTTATGCCGTTATGACAAAACAAAAAATCAGGTTATTTTTAGGTAACTTATACAAAACTTGATGTTTACAAGTGCTGAATGGAAGCCAACATTTTCAAGGTTGCTAAAATAATCAATTGCATATATTCTGTGTAAAACGAACTGTTATGTGACAAAAGTATTGAAGGGATATTCATATATATATATATCTGTAACCTTATTTTCAAAACTGTATGATATTTTCAGGGAAATATAAAACATGTAAGAATAAAACTTGGGCGCTTTGGTAGAATATAACTCCAATATGGATAAAACATCCTTTTCAAACTAATGATTTTGAGAAGGCTAATTTGATATCAACGTAGAAATACACGATGAAATTACTGGAAAACAATTTCACAACATTGCCTTTTTCGACGTCATTTATGATGTAGAACAGGTTGAGAATTGTGATTCGGATATATTTAGCGTTTCTGGCGGAAACCGAAGTAGATTTTCACAAACAGTAGATGTTTAATGTCAGAAAACCTAACTGTATTCTATATATTCCCAGCTGATTCAAATACCCAACCAGAATTCAAGAAGTTTCAATTTTATCACTTCTGTGATCTGAGTCAGTCCATGTAAACAACTGATGACCTCGCCTTAAAAACATACAAACTTACATCGAGTGTTTAGAGTACCACGAACCTGACTGTCAGACAATACAAGTTGAAGTTAGTGGTTTTAACGAAACCCGTATATTCGTATTCTATACTTTCCTGCAAAATTGAGCAATTTCCCATTCTTTTGTGACCGATTACATCAGTCTCATTGCAGTTCTTCAACGGATGCTTAACATTTAACTGAGCACAATTAGTTTCACAGAGAAATAATCTGATTCGTTTATAGGACATGGCATTATGTATTTCCAGGCGATGTCCCAACTTACTTACTTACTTTACTTCGGCTATCTCCTACGGGAGGATGAGCCGGTTTCATGAAGAGTTCATGAAGTTTCATGGGAATTTGGTACGAGTGATGTCCCCAGAATCGCTCGGCCTTTTGTTTGAAAGTGCAGCTCTAGCCTTTACACAACCAAGTGTGACCTACAAGGCAGTAGGAGTGGAGTAGGGAGTCCACTATCCATTGGCAGCCGGTGACCGGAGTTCGGTTCAAACGCCTTTTTGAATGGGGCCAGACATCCAGGACATCCAACAAGCCCTTTGTCCATACGTCTGCCGGTGAGCTCCAGTGGGCTTCATACGCCAGTCGTTGGAGGTTTTGAATCAGGGTTTAGCCATCTCTCCTAGACTGTCATCCAATGGACAGTCAACCCGATGAAGAGCGCCGGGCATCCGCTTTCGCCCTCTCACTTTGGTGAAAAACACCTCCGCCACGTGAAGGCAGTGAGTAGGACTTCCTCAGGAGAGGCTATGTAGGACGCCCGGTCATATGGGAGCATTTCAAGAGGTGTGCGGAGGGGTGGCCAACCCGCAGCGCAAGACACCCACCCCCGACCATCCTGAGGCTTTGGAGGCAGAATTTATTACTCATAGTCATACCGAGGCGTTCTCACACAGTTCTTTCAGATAAATAATCCCAGTGCGTATTTAGGAAAAAATGGAAAACAGATTTTTCTGAATATTTTGCTGTATAATCCACCACAGATTCTTTAGTCGGATTATTCGGATTTTATACGACTGAGGAAGCTACGGTGCCTTACACAGCGAAACGTTCATATAAATCTGGCTTCATTTTTTCGTAAACCTGCACTGGGCTTATTTCAAATAATTTGTAATGATTCAATCTGACTCGGTGCTCAAATTATTCCAGGAAATTCATAACATTCTAACGTCTGGAGACTGACAGTATTTGATTCTATAGTTAATGATGTTTCCAAAATCTCTGGCACCGATGTTGCGTCATTTCTACTACATCTGTATCGGTGTACATTCAGTCAACGGGAACTCATTAAATAGCATCCTATTGACACTAATACACAAAGTATCTCCTAATCTAGAAAATGCCTTACAATGATTGTGGGGTCAGTGTACCTATGCCGATGCAGTAATTCAAAATCATTCAGGTTACGGAGACATAAGAACTTAGGTAAAGATAGAATGATGAATTCAGGAACTTCAATGCGTTCACTGAAACACAATCGCTCAGTGGAGTAGGATCAAACTGCAGTTCTAAAAGCTAATATTAAATAAAGTATAATTATATTTTAATAGTTTACACACAATGATAAGTTTTGTTACACGGAGGACTAGGATCCGAGTGGAACATAGGGCTTCCCGTTTGGCAAACTCTTAAGAAGCAAGACAAATGAAAAAATCAATCAGCACTCAATGAGCCTCCATGACCTTTTAAAACATATAGGATCATGTTTATCATATATGAATTCACGTATTTTCCATATGACAAATAACATACTTACACACACACACACACTCACTCATACAAAACTAATCTATACAAATTAACTATACAAGAGTGAACACGACAACAACTTGACATTAGTCATGACAAATATATGTGATGACTGTTTACAAATTTTCTATTGGTAAAAATGTCCATAGACAAATGACCTTCAAATAAACTGACTTTAATGTATGTAAAAACTTTTGACTATATATTTTGATGATTAATAAAAATCCGAATAAATCTGCTGAAGAAGCTGTGGCTTACACAGCGAAACGTCCAGAAAAATCTTGTTTTGATTTTCTTAACACGCTGGGATTAATTTAAATAATTTATAATGAATCAATCTGAATCGGCGCTCAAATTATTTCAGGAAGTTCGTAACACCTACGGCCTGGAAACCCATAATATTATTATTATTGTTTCTTTTAGTTCCAAGCAGAACATAGGGATTCAGTCGCATGTCTTCATTACGTTCGGTTCTATGCCAATGTTTTCACCTGGCTCCATATCTGCCCACGTGCTTTCATCTCCTCTTCTCATGACCTCTTCCATGACACCCATTCTCTTACTGACGACCAACTCGCCGCTTCCCATTCGATAGGGTTTCACTCGAGTGATGGCCTGACGTGTGATATCACTCACTTGATGGTTTGATTTCTCAGAGTATGGCCAATCCACTTCCATTTCTTCCTGCATATTTGTTGCACAATTGGAACCTGCTGGGTTGGTTGGTTCGTTAACTGCGAGAGATCCCTGTTGCTGATCTTTTCTGGTC